ACATTTTGGTAGGACTCTTGGTGACATGTTAAAAGACAGTAAATAGCTTGTCTCTTTTTTACTTTGGGGCAAAGGGGGAATCTGAACTTCACCTTCTGCCTGTTGTTTGCCCAGCATTTATTTCTGTACCCAGCTTACAGATTAGCTCCTTCTGCCATATTCCTGCATCAATTTTGCACAAGTTTTATGTCCTATCTCCTAGCCTTGTGCAAATGTCTTAGATAACTTTGAATGTTTCAAATGGCATTAAGCACCTATATTCAGGCAACAAATTTTTGCCCTACATGTCTATAACAAGGTTTAAACATCTGGCTCATGTGTGGACACCTCTTTGTAATGGAGGTGTCCTAATTTGTGAGCTGAATCCCGCCAAAAGGTACGTAAGAAAAGCAAAGCTACTATGCATGGTCTGCACCTGTACGGAGGAATATTTAGAGGTCTAAATGCCAAAAAGAAGTTGAAACCTTTACACAAGATAGTCAAAATTTCTTGGGTCATCTCCAGGCAAACCCCAGCCCCAGCTGCAAGCTTATCATCTGCGGAAAGTTCTTCAAAGTCAGTCTATTCAGGAGCTGGTTTATAATTTATAAGTGGTATTCAATAACAGAAATTCCCTTGCAGGAATTTGAATACAGCGATGGCAAAATTGCATGACCTTATTGATCTGCTGTACATTGGAGACTAACCTTGAGTTTTCTATGTATTTGTTCATTTTAGCCCATGGACAGCGTAATATACAATTTAATTGGCATGGATGGGCTACTCAGCATCAAAATAAAGAGGCAACGTAAAAGCAACTGTACTAGCTCAGAGCCAGTCTAGCTGAATACCTGGCCTCTGGCAATGGAAACTTAGGGAGGGATAGAGAAAAAGAAGCAGCCTGAAGTGATATCCCTTAAAATAATCTCACAGTTGACAGCAATTGCTGCCTCAGGGACTTCTTTGCTCAGGGACTTCAGGTTATATAAATGTTTCCAACAACCCGTGATGGACTTTTCTGTCATGAAGGCATCTAATTGGTTTTCTAACCTATCTGAGCTTTTGGCAGATGCAATATCTTGTAGCGATGAGTTCTACAGTTTAAACATGTGCCGGGTGAAAAATTACCTTGCTTTATTCATTTTGATAATTGAATTTGATGTCATTTAGTTCTTGTATTATGGGAAACAGTGAACAATAATCCACTATTTGTCTTCTTGTTGGCACTCCTGATTTTGTAGACCTCTATCATGTTCCTCCTCTGTCATCTTTTCTTCCAGGCAAAAGTCCTTTGTTTTCACTGCTCTTCACATGGAAACTGTCCCATGTCTTTGTTCATCTTAGCCACCCTTTTCTAAATTCTTTCTAAGTCCACTGTATCCTGCTTTTGAGCTCAGCTGATCTGAAATGGAGTGATAGTGTAGACAGTGTTCATATTATGGGCACGTAATGGTTTTATTCAGAGGTGTAAAGATGTTTTTGAGGCTAGTTTCTATCTCTTTCTTACAGCCCTTTCCCTGACATCTCTTGCCCCTACTGCCCCTGTTTTAGAAATGAGGCACAGTGACAATTCACAGCAATGTTTTAGACAGATTTGTGCATGTATTTGGTACAAACAAACAAAAATATGTGCATTCTGTTTCATAGAGCTTACATCAATCCAACATAACTTGAATCACAAAACAGAAATACTCTGGCTAATAAATACATCTGAGGATGAAAAATAAAAATCTATACATAAAAAATTCCAATGTCTGCTAAAGAAAATGTACACTTATATACACACTGTAAACAATAGTAATGCAACCCAACTGCAGTCCAGCTCAGGCTGGCGGGGTCTTCCTTCCTCCTTGAACAGGACTCATGAGGGTCTACTGACATAAAAGCCACTGTTCACCACCCTTAACACTAGGTTTGCTGAAGCAGCGAGGTCTGACGATGCAATAGTGACACAGAAAGCCAGCACGATGAGGTGAGAGCTGCTGGATAACCAAGGTGCAGGTGTTTTGAGAAATGGCCTGCTTGCTAAATTTGGAGAAACGGGGCCATACCCTCAGCTGGTCACACCATTGCGGGTCTAGAGAAGCCAGTGGGATCAGAGCAAATTTACCACCTGACGGTCTGAGCCCATTTTTCCAAAGCTGTGAGAGCTCTGAGATTAAGGGAATCAGTGTGAAATGCGCAGGTCTAGATACCCAGGTCATATTTCCCGCAACATTGTCTTTCCTCCCCTGCCAGCAAAGACAGCCCCAATCTACTCTACCTGAAGCTCTACACATCCGGCTTCAGAGTCCCATCCTGACATCGCTTCTTCTGATGCGTTTTGCTAAACCACGCTGCTAAGGGGACAGGGAGGGCCTGGGTTTAGATGAGAAACGGGTGTTTTGCCTTAGCACAGCACAGCAGAGCTCAAAACTTTCCTATAGTACATACTAGGGCAACCTTTGGGACCCTAAAAAGCATAGGCACAGATGCAACAGCAGAAAGCAAATGAACTAGATGTTGGGCAGTTGTGTACGTGTACACATATATGTGCTTAAACAGACTTTTTCTTTCCTGTAGGTCTGTAAAGAATTGGCATGGAGAGGCAGTAAAACCCCAGACTAATCTTGCTTTCCCTTCCTGATGCTTTCAAGTGACTGGAGGCTGTAAATATTTCAAAATTGAGAAAAGTAAAGAAGTAAATTTAAAGGATCAGGGTGAAGTGTAAGCAATAATTTAAGCTCTCCCTTGGGAATAAGCTGCCTGCCAGCAGTTGCAAAAAGCCCCTCCAAAGTCCCCACTTTATAGGAGACAGTCTGCCATTTTGGAGATGACTTTATATACACAAGTATAGTAAAACGTGTACGTGTAGCTGTATGGTCATGGGAGCACATATGTTGCTCTGTGCTGTGATTGTCTGGCTGGATTCCCGCTGAGGCTGACAGACATCAGATATAAACACTCCAGAGCATCAGAGAGCATTTAATAGCAGATGTCTATCTTCCCCTTGACCAGACTTTCACCTCTATTTGTGCAGTTAACGTTGTGAGTAATCTCGAGGTCTGCGTTAGCTCATCCTAACGTGCGCCCCCAGACTGCTTACATTGCACTCGCATGTGTCAGACCTGCAAAGTGCTGTCATCAGAAGGAGGCAAAAATGCTGATCGGGGGCTGTGTTTTCTCCCTCTGATGGTAGTATGCATGCATAGGCATCCAGAGAGTAAGGCAAAGCGCAGGAGGAGTAACCATTTGCCTCACCAGTGTCCTTTCAGGCATCTCCACTCTGGCAGGAAAGCTTTTCAGCAACTGCCCTCTCCTAGTGCTCCCAATGACTTCCCTGCTGAATCCCCAGTGCCAGCAGTGGGAATGGTGGGTATGCTCTCCCATCAGGACAGGCACCCAAATCCAAAGTTGTCCAGGAAACCTGTGGCAGGAGCAGTCCTTACACTGCAAAATGACTTTCTGTGCCATTCCATCATCACATAGGATCTCACTCCCCCTGAAGGCCAAAGAAACAGAAAAAGAAAAATGCAGTTCCCCACAGGGGGTATTGGACCCTTGCATTGGTAGGCTTGAACCCTGCAAGCTGGCAATCTCTGGCTGCTTTTGCAAACACTCACCACTTCTGAACGTGCAGGCGGTAATGAGTTTGGGTTCAGCACAAGTGTAGTGCTGCCCGTGCTTCTTGTCGGGGTTAGCTTCTGGAAGGAAAATATTTGGACAAAATCTGCAAGTATTTATGCAGTAATTTGTCCAGTTCAGAGTCCATTGCACTGAGTGAAGGGCAGATGGGTGTTACGGGTGTGGAGATGGGGCCCACTCAGGATACCATGTCTCAGGAGGCACTGTAACACGCTTGTTCCTTTAAAAGGTAAAAGCTTTTCATCTCTTTTGATAGCCTTAGGAGGATTAGCTAGATGTGCTGTAGGCCCCATTCATGAAAAATTCCTAATGGGTTTGGGGGACAGTGCTGAAGTGGGTGAGTTTCCATCCAGGACACGTTCAGCGTCATGTTTCCATCCCTGGACTTCATGGTCCTGTTCTTTATTTACCTTGCAGACTGGACTTGAGATGCTCTGCCTCCAATCCAGACTTTGTCTTCAGCACCTGGGTGTCTCAGGCCTGGGCTCACTGCTAAATCTAATGTTCATACATCGTGGAAACTCCTGGGCTCATTGACTGACTGAAATGCGATAAAACCAGTGCCTGAAACGTATGGCCGAGCAGGGTGTAAGCAACTAGTCTTTCCTGAGCAGCAAAGCACAAGGTGCAGCAAGCCTGGCCGGCATAGGCTGTATTGTCACAGCTCTGTCCCCTTGTTGTCCCAGAGAGGAGGCCATGGTGCCTTCCCTTGGGCAGCTCACACTCTGGGATTATGAGTGGAGGAAATAAACCCTTATCGAAATCATTTTTGTCCGTACTAGCAGACACAAGCAAGGTCAATTACTGAGCGCCACCAAAGGCTTCAGTGTCAGGCACGTGTGAAGTCACCTGGGAGAAGAGTCATGGATATGATCCTGACTGGGGACAAGATGCGTCTACGCGAGGGAACTCCCACTGCACTTTAGCTCCATTTTAACTTTGACTCTATAACCAGTAGAAACGGAACCCAAACTCAACCATCCCACCTTTCCTGAGCCATAGGGTAGGCTGAGTTTGGACCTGAGCTGAGCCCCTAGGATGCATCTTTATTTCATATTGTTTGAGAGAGATGGAAATTGAGGGTAGGAATGGGAGAGAAAAGGCCAAAGATGGCCAGCGTGAGAAGGAATTGCTTTCTCTCTGTACTACAGAGGGAAGTGCACTAGAGCAAGGGAGTGTGCTAGTTCCTTTTGGACTCAAAAGTGAAATGAGAAATGCATCATAGGTTAGAATTAGAGAAGAGAGACCCGCACACCCATTGGCATCAGTGTATAAATCAGGACAGCTGCTCTGGCCTAAAGCCAGGCTATGCAGACCTGGCAAAGCTGTGGTCATTGCAGATACAATAACTCAGAGCCACAGTCCTCCCCAGCCTGTTTGGGAACACTGTGGTGTTCTTGCCCTGGAGAGCCAAGACCTGGGCTGGAGGTCCTGTCCAACCCTGTGGTCTTGCAGGCTCCCAAACCACAGGCTAAAGGGCCACCTGCTAGCTACCACTTGACAGCTTCCTTTCTGGATGCCACCTCTGGAAGGAAACGTGGTCACATGTGCTAAGGCAGGATTGGCATCTTTTGGGGGTATGATCTTTCTATTGTATTTTATGTTGTTGTTTTTAAGGCAAAGGAGACATCCTGGTTTCCCTTAATTGCACAGTTTCTTCCAAAGACAGATAACCATCCCATTGGAGGAAACAGCTCTTTTCCTAAGGCCATATCCACCCCACACCTTCCCCTTCTGCCACGGCTTATAAAAATGGGATATGTCATTGGTTCTTATCTGAGGAACCCATAATCCCAGAGAAGGGGGCTGACCTCTGTGTGGGGGATGCTTGTATAACCTTTGGGTGACCAAGTTTTATACCTGATTGCTGCTTCCAGTCTGCCTGACAGACCCACAGATGGCATCCCTTTGTGTTTCTGCTAGATACCTCTAAAGAAACCATCAACAGCTGTCCCAGGGGCTTTAAATATCTGTTTCTCTCAGCCCACAGCAGTCTGTTAAGTCATAGGTTTGATAGTCGATGCTTTCTGTGAAGTCATGCGGGATCCCAATAGAAACAGACTCTACCTCTGTTTTGTAGGTGGCTGTCACCCCTCCTTTGCTGGAGCCACCCCGGATTTTGTTAGAAAGGCTGTTCATCTTTTCCTTCAGCTGCGTGGATGCTGGTTTCTGGAATGGCATGAGCATTTTCCAGCTCTTGAAGCTGAGTGTTCTCCTCTTACTGGCTCTCTCCTGCAAGGAGGAGTTAAATATGAACGAACTGTTTAGGGTGCTAATTCTGGGTCTTGGGTCTGCCTCAGAGTCTCGTTCGGAGCTGTTCATGGAGGCTCCTCGCCAGTGGTGGTCGTAGACCCGCCAGATGGGCCTCCTTCTCCGGCGGCATTGGCACTTGAGGAGCCTGATGAAAGCTCGCTTGAACTCTTTGCTAGAGCAAGGGTAGATGATCGGGTTCACACAGCTGTTGAAGTATCCCAGCCAGAAGATGACCTTGAAGACCATGTCTGAGGGCTTCAGAGATGGGAAGAAGGAACCTTGGAAGAGATTGAAAGAAATCTAGGTTAGAGGAGGGGGGGTGACATGGCAGCACAGGGTAGTAAGGGTGGTGGAGGAGGTGACAGGACACGGCTGAAGATGTGATTCTGTTATCAGGTCTGTGGCTAGCAATTGTTTTGGGGAACAGCTTCATGACCTAGGCAGCCAGCTGGAAACAAATGCCTCCCTGGTCTAGCAGCACTATGTGGCCAGGCCCTGTCCCACACCAGATCAGCTGGAGCAAACTGATGCTCAGCTGGGTTGCAGGGATTAGTTTTGGTGAACGTCATATACCCTCTGTTCAAGTTTTGCAGCGAGGCTAAGGCGTGTCTTGAAGGCAGACACCTGAAGTGGGCTGGGATAAAACCCACTGCTCCAGCTTGCAACTGTCATGGGAAAAACCCCTTTTGTCCACTCTGGCCCAGTTTATGCTTTTGGGCTGGAGGATCCTGGTGGTTTTCTTGCTGAAAAAAACTTGAGATTTTTGTGCAGCCAGAAGATGTCACTGTTGCTCCCACATGGCCCCATCACTTCATATTACCCACTAAAACCTGAAATAACTGTCTGACTCAGCCTAAATTTCTTTTAATTTTAGGTCTGGATGACAAATCATGCCACCATGTGACTGAGCATTAATTTGTATTTTAGTAAATAACATTAGCTCTAGATATCATTATTATTTTCCCTGTGCTCAAAAGTCTGGTATCAAAACAGTAAAACAGGTGCCTGGAGCCAGAAATTCAGGACTGAGGCTCTGAACTTCCACTAACCACATAAAAGCTCCAACTTTTTTGCTAGAGAAAAATCATAATCCAGGAAACCCAGAGCGCTAATTCAAGCAAAGCTTTCTTACACCCATCCCTAAGCAGCAGAGAATTTACAAAACAGACTCAGGTTTAGGTATGTGAGGTACCCCAGTGCAGGGATGTGGGTGAATAAAGAAACATCTCAGCATTTTCCTATTATTAGGTGGAGAAAGCATGGAGGTATCTCTGCTGTCTCGAGCCATAGGGCTGAAGTGCCTGCTGGCTGTTAAGCTATGCTAAAGGAGGCATTGAAAAAGGACAGTACGCATGACTGAAGTGTCAGTGATTGGAAAAAAGAATGGGGCTTTCATGGAAATGCATCGTCTTTCTTTACAGACTGGTGTGCAGTCACTGGGGTTGTAGCTCGTGGTTTTGAACAGAGCAATAGGATTGGGAATAGGGATTTGAAGAGGCAGGGCCCCCACCGTGGCTGTGTTTAACTAAAGAGGTTTGTTACTACATTGCATCCAGTATCTTCTGCTTTCTCCATCCTTTCTGGGAAGCGCCAGAGCTTTGCCTTGCCCCATTCTTGCACTATCCCCCAGCTGACCTTCTTGGGCCCAAAACCAGCGTGCGATCTTTGGGGGACGTGGGCCAGCAGCAGGTTTCCAGGCCCAGCATCAGTTTTTCTCCTGAGTCTCAGGTCTTGGCAATAGCGGATGGGTCTTTTTTCTGCCCAGAGTCACCCACTGCCCGCAGTGCCTGAGGCCATCCTCTACGCGGGGCTGTGTGCTCTCTGCAGGGGGATCCCTGGCTCTCAGCCCTGCAGTAAGACACTGCCCAAAGCCTGGTCTGAAGCTGACTGTGCTTTAGCTCAGTGTGAGTATCTGGGGCCAGGGGATGTGAACAGGCAAATCCTGCTCATGCCCTTGTCAGGGAAGAGGTGCTGCGTCTTAGTTTCCCCAGTAGGAAATGGGGCTAACTGCCATCATCTTTTTCACCGTGTTGCTGTAAGGCTCAGCTCAGCAAAGTTTGCAGTGCACACTGGCTTCTGAAAGGAGCCACAGATTTATAGAGCATTTTTTTAACTTCAAGAGAGAGGAAAAGAAAACAGAAAGCTATGGCAACAAAGCAAATAAAAGAAGAGGCTCTTTAAAAATGAATCTGGTAATTACTGCTTGAGCTAGGCTATCTAAGAGATTGGTGCTTGCTCAAACAGGCTGTTAAAATAATAATTTATATCTCATGTTTAGCAGTTAATTGCACAATGCGGTTTCTATACTATAGTCTTTGTTTTTGCATCTAGATGAAAAATACAAACTGGAAAAAAAAATAGCTGTGAATTTCCTGAATTTCAATTTTGGCTGTTTTTCACCCCCTAGAACCTTGTGTACATCTGAAGACAAGGGGCTCATTACCATGCTCATTAACATGGAAATAAGTATGCCCCTTGGAAGACATGTGCACTGAGTGCATCCATAGTTTCCTCATTTCACCACCTTGAGATGAACAGAATCTCAGGGTGGGGAGTCCCCAAACCAGGTCCTTGGCTTGGTACATGCTGAAGCACCAGACTGTCTTGATAGGCACTGGGAGGAGGCTGCTTATAAGGAAGAGTTATGAGGTCTTATTTAGGGAATGAGTAAAGTACGGAAGGAATTAGCCCTTGCTTTCATGCTCACAACTGTACAACGAGAACATTTTGAGAGGGAGGGTTTTTGGGCTAGGCTTTGTGTTGCTTACCATACAGGACCCATACAGGTTACCATAGATGTTAGGATGCCTGAATATGCTCTCACTCTCCCAGGGGAAGGAGGATCCTGGCTGCTTCTCCATGCAAGATGCTCTCAGGTAAGGTGGGATGCAGATCTCTGGTTAAGAAAGCTGCATATTGGCTTATGTCCTCCTGCTGAGGACTTAATCTTCCCCTACTGCTGCAGAACTTCCAAATCCCTCTCCAAGGGCTTAGCACCTAAAAATGTTAAAATAACAGTGCTGGGGAGATTGAAAGCCCTTCTGGAACTTTAATACTTAGGATATTTTATAAAGTTCTAAATCTTGCAGAGCTTGAATCCTTGTGATAGAGCTGGGGCTGAGCAAGGGCAGGAGGTGCTGTTTGTAACCATAGACAATTATCTTCAGGAGCATTAAGAAATTAAGAAACCTGCAGGCAAATTCTCAGGCAAAGCCTGCCCCCACTTTGCAAAGTGACCGGCTTCCCAATCACCTAAATGGGATCTGAAGATTGAATTTCATTTTTTTGGTGGTGTAAAAAATGAGCCATTATTGGTAGCTGGTCTGAAGGGTAGATAAGGCAAAAAAAATTAATTTATTTGGTGGTTTTACAGCATGCGTGGATGTATATGTGCAGGACACACGCACGCGTACTGTATGTGTGCCTGTACACTTTTGGGTACGTGAAGCTTGAGCCTACCTGGAGCAACCTCATTGTTTGCTGGTCACACACCATTTTGGAAACATACTGTATGGGATTTTCCTGGGTGAATATCACCCTGCTTGGCTCTGGGGAAAATATCCAACCAGACACAAATCTCTGAAGAGAGGGAGCATGCTCTCCAAAGCTGTAACATCCTATGTTGGGGGGCTACTAGATGCAATCTATCCTCCACACACTAAAACACGCATCCCCTTTTTTAGGGTTGTGTGAGCTAGCTAAGCTCATGATCTTTCCTTGTATGCACTTCTGCACCCTGCCCTCCCTGTGATTCAGTCAAAGGTGATATCACTGTATTGTTTGGAGAGTTGCTGGTCTCCGTGTTCAAAGCACAAAAAAATAAGGCAAAACAACAGAAAAAGACGACTACACGAATGAAAATGGACCTACTCCAATCTAAATTCTGGCCAGAATCCCTGAGCAGGCTTGCTTTCTGCCACAGCTGGCAGTGGCATCGTTGTTTTAAAAGGTCCCTGCTTCACAGCATGTCCCGAATAGTCCGTGGCGCAAAAATGCTGCAAGTGCGATATCGGGTGGGTAACAGGAAGAGCCAGAAACATGCCCCTCCACTGCCCCCTCATCAATGAGAAATGCAAGGACCTGCAGGATAGTTCACATTGACAAAGGGCCTCGCTATTGTTTGATGTGAACTATGTGTGAGAAACAGCCCCGGATAAGAGTAGCTTAGGAACAGTTGGACCTTGCAAGCGTTGGCAGAGTGTTGTGGAAACGGTAAATGGGGGAACTATTGCTCACTGCATTTGAGAAGACTGAGACTGGTGGGTGGTGGATTTAAAGCAGAGAAGAGGAGAGGGTTTTTCTCACAGCATATTGCTTGGCTGTGGAAGTCCCTGCTGCAGGAGGCTGTGGGTGCTAAAAGTTTGCACGGGTTCAAAAAAAGGACTGCACAAACTCAAGGAAAACAAAGAATCTACCAAGGTCTGTCAAGTGCAAAACCTTCCATTCTCAAATTAGGAAGTTTGAGAAACCCAAATCACTGGAAGCCGGGAGAGTACTCTGGGGGTAATATTACTATCTGCAGAATCTGGTCTTATATTTTTCCTTGATATCACTGTTGACCAACAGGGACAGGGCATCGGGCTAGCTGATCTGATCTCAGGTGATGGTTGCTATGCTGCCACACTCTCCTCCTTTCCTGCAGATGAGATAACACAAGGCCTCTCATGTATGAAGGGCTGATAATCTTGGTGTGTCAGACGATGTTGGATCTGTGGAGGGGACAGTCATCGTCGCATTGCCTGAGCTTCTTGTGAATGTGGCCTCTAAGGTCTGGAGGGGTCTGAGGACTCAGCCTCGCTCGGGATGTGCCAGAGCAGTAAGGCAAGAGAATTGCAGCTGGTATAGAAATATCGCAGCATGGGAGGTACTGTAGCTGCAGAAGCTCAGCGTGACCAAAGGAAACAGTCCACATCTCTCTTCCTTCTTTTCTTTCTGAATCTCACAAAGGAAAGAGGAAGCGCTCATACCCTTCATCTTAATTAAATCTAGTCCAAAGCAGTCCTGACCTGCCACTTTCTGCCCACTGCACAGGCGTGGATCCCTTCTTGCCAGCTCCTTGCCAGACCCCCACGAAGGAGACCTGGACAGTCTCCGCCTGATGCAACTGCCAAACTATGGGAGGGAGGGCTGGATATCAGCAAGAATTTCTGTCCGTGTATGGGACCGAGAGTTTGGCTCGCCTTTCCTGACCTTCTCCCCCATCCGCTACTGACTACTTCCTCTGGGCATCCATAGGCATATCAGGGTCCCTAGAGGGTTAACTCCTCCCTGCCTTTTG